TGACTATGCTTCAACTTGACCTATTAAAATAAAGATGCCACAGCGCAGTGTCCTAGACCCTCTATTATTTTTCATTTTCTTTAATGACCTACAGAATTTACATTTCTCATTCACATTAATGACTTACATAATGCCTCCCAGTTTTGTTTACAAGTGACACAACTTTTGTCATCTCAACGCCAGATGCAGTTGTCTTCAACAACACTGTTAATGTAGATAAATAATGGTTCAGAGAACCGACAAGGTGATGCATTATACACCTGTGCAACACTTGGGAATCTTTATTGTGGAAATGTTTCGCTAGCCAGTGGCTTCGTCAGTCCAATACAGAGAAGAATGGTTAAAGATGAGAAAGAGTTTGAAATAATCTGTCCCAAAGCCTGGATCCCATCAAGAGTGATGGACTGATCACATCGACTCCAGGCTGATGGACTGATTACCTCGAACTCTTTCTGATCTTCTTTGTATCGGACTGAGGAAGCCACTGATTGGTGAAACGTTTCCTAATTCATCACGACTGTTAATGACGAGCTCACGAAGATTCTGCTTGGATGACACAACTTACAATCATTACTGACAAGACCTTCTATGAAGCATTTGAAATAAAACTGCAAATATTATTTTGAACAAAAGCAAATAATATTCAATATTAAAAGAAAGGACGAGAAAATTCTTAGGTAAACACTCTGATATCAAACTAAAACTGAAGACTGACATTCAGTATACATCAAATAAAATTTCTAATACAGAAGACATTTTTTAAAAAATGTTAGTATGTAGCTTGTACAACATTACACATCCCATTCCTCAGAATAATAAAGTTTATAAACTTAATACAAGTTGTAATAAACGACACAATGTAAAATAACCACGAGGGGGGGGGGGAGTTGAACGATAGCATTAGGCCTTTCGTGTTGCAATTTACACATCATCAGGAGCTTGAAATGTTGCAGACAGGAAGAGGAGGTTCAAGCAAATACGATCACAGGAAGCGCCTATGTAAAGGCACTTCCTGTGAGTGACGGTGAAATTGTTTCTTCTTTTTGGGGTCACCTGCCTCGGTGGTAGACGGCCGGTGTTATTAAAAAAATAATGTGACAGCTTTGTAAAATATAACTAATTCTGTTTGTTAAGCACCCATGTCCCTGTTAATACAAAGAAGTGATGCAAGGAGGCAGGAGTAAATGGAGAAAAAAAAGGCTAAGAGAGTGATAAAGGAATGTAAAGGGAGAGCAAATAAGTAGGTGAGATGCTATCAATAAATTTTGCTGAGCATAAGTTAACGTAATAAGTTAAGAAAGCCTGGCGAACGAATGGATTTGACAATTAAAAATAGGAGAAGAGAGTTATTAGATGAAGATGGGAAGTATCGGAAAGGAGGGAATATTTTGAGGAACTGTTAAATGATGATGAAGATAGGGAAGCTGATTTCTTGTACTGGGTAGGGAGGTATAACATCTTGTAGGAGTGAAGAAGGGCCAGTTGTGAGTGTGGGGGAGGTGCGTGAGGTGGGGGAGGTGCGTGAGGTGGGGGAGGTGCGTGAGGCAGTGCCGTAGAACTGAAAGGGTATAAAGCAGCTGGGATTGGTGGGATAAAGACAGAAATGTTAAAATGAGGTGAGGATATAGTTTTGGAATGGTTAGCGCTTTATTTAATAACTATGGAAGAGGGAAGGGTACCTAGGGATTGACAAAGAGCATACATAGTTCATTTTTATAACGGCAAATGAGACAAAAGAGTGCAAAAATTATAGAGAAATAAGCCTGTTGAGTATACCTGGTAAAGGGTATGTTAGAATTATTATGGAAAGAATTAAGAGTAAGACGGAGAACAGGCTCACAGATGAACAAAGAGGCTTTAGGAAGAGTAAGAGGTGTGCAAACGAAGTGTTTACAGTGAAACATATAAGTGAACAGTATTTAGATAAAGGTAAAGAGGTTCTTGTGGCATTTATGGATATGGAAAAGGCATATGATAGGGTGGATAGGAGAGCAATACACAAATAACCCGCACATAGAAGAGAGAAGCTTACGACGACGTTTCGGTCCGACTTGGACCATTTACAAAGTCACACTAACCAGAAGTGGAGCAGGACGGCTATATATAGGCAGGAAGAGGTGGTGGTGGTAGTAGTAGTAGTAGTAGTAGTAGTAGTAGTAGTATTAGTAGTAGAGGTAATGGTGGTAGTAGTGGGGAATAAGGAGGAGGAGCCAGTCAATTACAAAGAAAGGGGAGCACTGCAAGGGAGCTAGGTGCCCACAGAGGGAGAGCAAGTGCACAGAGGTGGGTGAAAGGGGAAGTGGTGAAATAAAGAAAGAACAGAAACCGAGGCAGAAGGAACAAAGACAACCCAGAGGAGAAAAAGGAAAGAGGAAAGGGGAAGAGGGAGAAGAAGAAAAAGAAAAAGAAAAATGAGGAGTCAGGTTAAGTCACGGGTGTTCTGAAGTTTGGAGCAATGTGGCAGATGTTGCAGATGTACGGAATAGGCAGTAGGTTACTGAAAGCAGTGAAGAGTTTTCACGAGGATAGTGAGGCTCAGGTTAGAGTATGTAGGAGAGAGGGAGATTATTTCCCAGTAAAAGTAGGCCTTAGACAAGAATGTGTGATGTCACCGTGGCTGTTTAATATATTTACAGATGGGTTTGTAAGAGAAGTGAATGCTCGGGTATTGGCAAGACATGTGGGATTAAGAAATAAAGAATGTAACACAAAGTGTGAATGTCACAGTTGCTTTCTGCTGATTACACTGTGTTTTTGGGAGATTCTGAAGAGAAGTCGCAGAGGTTGGTGAACGAGTTTGGAAGGGTATGTAAAAGAAGTAAATTAAAAGTGAACGTAGGAAAGGACAAAGTGATGAAGATAAAAAAAATGGTAATGAAAGACTGGATATCAGACTGGAGGGAGTGAATGTATTCAGATATTTGGGAGTTGACTGGTCAGTAGATGGGTCTATGAAAGAGGTGAATCATAGAACTGATGAGGGGAAAAAGATTAGTGGAGCACTGAGGGGTCTGTGGAGACAAAGAATGTTATCAATGGAAGCAAAGAGGGGAATGTATGAGAGTATAGTTGTACCAACACCCTTGTAATAATGTTGGTAGAATTACCGACAATATGTAAAATAAAAGGACACTAGCGCAACTAATGTGACATTTTTATTGTGGCAACGTTTCGCTCTCCAGAAGCTTTGTCAAGCTGTTACGGCTTGACAAAGCTCCTGGAGAGCGAAAAGTTGCCACAATAAAAATGTCACATTAGTTGCACTTGTGTCCTTTTACTTTACAGACCAACACTGTTATATGGATGTGAAGCATGGGTGGTGAATGTTGCAACAAGAAGAAGGCTGGAGGCAGTGGAGATGTATCTGAGGGCAGTGTGCGGCGTGACTATAATGCATTCTCGTAGCCTGGACATGCAGGAACTCTATGTACCTGACAGAGAGAACTCACCCCAACCATCGAACATGACCGACTACACCATAACACCCCCCACCCCCCACAGATCCCAAAGAATGACCCTCCAACAAAGAGTCCGACGCTTCATCCACAAGGAGAACTTCCCTCGACCAAGAATCCTGAGTAACCTCCCCAAAGTAAAAGAATGGATACCACCAGACCCATTCGAAGTCCAGTAACATGAATTAACGCTCCCCAGTTTTGGGTGACCTACTTCTGTCAATCAACACCTTACAACTAACCTTGAAACATCTACAACCATCCTCCAGCAGGACACCACCTCAGAAACAGCTTAGCCAACCAACTCCAGGTGAGCAACCAACCTCCATCAAACGACCTGCAACTACCACCTGTGGCTGCAGCCTTACAACTGACCTCTTGCGCGAAAAAAAGACAATTGCAAACAGTATACATCCTTGCAATTCATTGGCACACCGGTATACAGGTGGTATAGCAGTGTACAAATGACGGGCAGGAGGTATACCTATCTTATGAATTCAACTTTTTCACGAATAACACAACACACACGCACACGTATTTAAATTGCACCAAAGTGGATAGGCCACTTACCTTCCAAACCCCACCTCCCCCTCCACCCTCCCAAACCTCTCACACATTCCATCCTTACCCATTCTTCTTCCTTCCCCATCTTACCAAAGCTCTGGTCAGAACCTCGCACTTCGTAGCTTGGAGATTAGGAGATGCGGAGTTTCTAAAAGAATTATCCATAGGGCAGAGGAAGGGTTGTTGAAGTGGTTTGGACATTTAGAGAGGATGTAACAAAATGGAATGACTTGGAGGGCATATAAATCTGTAGTGGAAGGAAGGCGGGGTAAGGGTCGTTCTAGGAAAGGTTTGGGGGGAGGGGGTTAAGGAGGTTTTGAGTGTAAGAGGCTTGGACTTCCAGCAAGCGTGTATGAGCGTATTAGAAGCAACTGGAGACGAATGGTTTTTACGACTTGACGTGCTGTTGGAGTGTGAACAAAATAATAATTATGAAGGGATCCAGGGAAGCCGGTTAGCCGGAATTGAGTCCTGAAGGTGGGAAGTGCAGTGCCGGCACTCTGAAGGAGGGGTGTTAATGTTGCAGTTTTTTTAACTGTAGTGTAGCCACGGCTCTGGCAAGAAAAGTGATGAAAAGAATGATAATGAAAATATTTCTTAATCTTCGGGTCACCCTGCCTTGGTGGATAACGGCGGATGTGTTAAAAGAAATCTAACTTTCCTAAATGATTACGACCCTTAACACTCAGTGACTGCTATACTTTAACTCTTATTACACATGTTACACATGTCTCTTACTCATTAACTTCTCAATACTTTACACCAATTATAATATGACACTTATTCCTGCTGATCTCTCGTAGTAAACATTATTAGTTTATTATTTTGTGAAGCACCTAAACAGCCACATTTCACTGTACAATATTTCTCCATGCGGTAAAAAATAATTCGTAATTTAATAAGCAGGTACGAGGGACATAATTTGTTTTAAGTTGTCACTTTTACTTTCATGTTAAAAACAAAGACGACCGTGTAACTGACCTTGAATTTTTCAGCGATGAATCTATTATTATTTTTGTTGATCGAGGGATCAGCCATGATGAGGTGGGACGGAGGTGTGTCCACTCCCGGGGACACACTTACACTGCTCCACTCATACTTAACACTCAACACCAGCACGCACGCGTGAACACCAAACAACTATGACTTGGGATTAACCCTGGTTACTTGCCCAGGTGCTGTATGACCCCTACGGAACACAGTAACTACCTACCGGCACGCATGGAAACACAAGAGTGTGAGTACACTCCAGGGGACACACTTCTACTGCCACCCTACACACTTATCACTCAGATACTCAACACACACACACACGCACGCGCGAACAATGTCCACCATATATATATATCACCTTGGAAACTAAGCAACACTCGCACTGCCAAGGCAACTGAAACACAATAATACAGCGTAGACGATGGGAAACACTAAGTCATAAAGTTACTGTGAAGTTGAAGACAGATTTATACCAGACAAGGTACGAAGACACACAAAAACAGTCATAGTTCAACCAGCGCTGCAAGGAAGTCAAAGTGTGCAAAAACACAGTTACAGTTCAGGACATTAATTAAAGGAAACGTTTCGAAACACGAGTGGTGAAACGTTTAATAAATGTCCTGAACTGTACATAAGTCTCTTTTTCTACAGAACATGGATCAAAAGAGCGAACATGAAGAGAGCAGCGACAATAGAAGAAAACAACGTGCAAACAGAAGAGCAAGTAGGAATGAATATAAATAATTGTTTGTAATGATATAACAGGAAAGGCCTAAGCAGACTCAGATCTTTTCAATTGCCTATCTAGGAAGGAAGAGGATTGTAAAAGATTAAGTAATAAGACTGAGAAAAAACACTTACAGTATGCGACAGAGACGTATGCGAACAACCAAACAGAAAATTCACTGAGGTATTAAAAAAGGAACATGAAATGATGTCAAGGAAGACTGAAGTCAAGACACAGTAACCTGTACTAGAAGACAACCAAGGAGGACGTGAAGATAATAAAGAACCAGAGCACAACAAAAGCCAAGGGACTTGATAACATATGTTTATGGGAACTAAGGAAGTGATAGTGTTATTTTATTTACAGATAACTATAACCATTAGGTTATTCTGAGCTTAATACATTCAGTTTTACATAATATAAAATTTACATTATTACTGACAACGTGCTACTGTCATAACTAATTCGCTCTGATATTACATAAATCATAATCACAAATAACGTAATATAAATTGAAAATATTTTTTTACATTCTGCAATCCACATCCATAATACATTTCATGCCATCAGCTGTGTCAGCAGATTGAGATTAAAAAGTAAATATATCCCACCATTTATTCCGAAAGAGATGCTGAGTTCATAGGCAGGCACTCTGTGGGAAGAGTTTCACTCCCAGAGACAAGGTTGCCCAACTACCAGGCACAAACCACTAAAATCCCACCACCGAGTTAGGGTGACCCAGCGTCAGGGGTAATAAAGGAAGGAACAGAAGCACTGTGCAAACCCGCAGCGAAGATCCTCAAGTAGCTAGAGATGCAACAACTATGGGATAACTGGAAGCTGACTAATGTAATTCCTATACTGAAGGAGCAGACAGGAGTCGCTGAACAACAGGAAGGTATCTCTGACGTACATCCTCTTCTAAGTGATGATTATAATTATAATTAACATTACTATTATTATTATAAGTAACGGAGCTTTGTTAATGGAAATCAGCATTAATGATGCAAAACTCTGTAGTAAATATGAGTGAGGGGTGACAAGCGCATGACGCTCTGTAATTATATACCATCACTGGAAGCAAGAAAAAGTTGAAAAAAAGGCCACACAAATATGCTACAACATAGCTTCCATAGTCGAGAATGTTAATCAAGAAGATTAAAGACAGAAAATGTCCTCGTTGATCGATAGGACCAATAAGACATAAAAACGATAATTTTTAGTATCATTTGATATTCCTTATATTCTCTTAAATATTGGCCAACTGTAAGAGTCCGCTGTACTGCCATGACTCCCTTCTTAAAAAAAATCCTAGCAACAGTTGGTTGGTTCAGTTAACTCACCACCGTTCACGTCCATGATGAAAACAATTGACGGTAAAATGATGGCTTGCTGCCACTCACCACCGATATTATAAACCACTAGAAGAGAGAGAGAGAGAGAGAGAGAGAGAGAGAGGAGAGAGAGAGAGAGAGAGACTATTAATCTTTTCATAAATTTATCATAAGTCCTATGGACTGCACTGGGGGGGGGGTCATTAAAGCTGTCTACCTTTCTACCTCAATCTCTTGCTACCTTCTACCCCTGTACTATCCACTGCCCCGCTGTTCTCCGTACCCTACTAATTATCCCTCTCCCTTTTGCCACCTGATACCCCTGCTTCCTTCCTACCCTGCAGCGCTGTATAGCCCTTATGGTTTACCGCTTCTTTTTGATTATAATAATAATAAATTAAAGCTGCATGTCATCCGCTCACATCCAGTCAAGAATATTTTAAACCCTAAAATAGGGATTAAAACTCTTAGGATATATATACTGAGACATACGTATACGAATGAGACACTTGTGCAACATTTGGGAATCTTTATTGATGTGTTCAGTCCATCACGACTGATGGACTGAACACATCGACTCCAGGTTGAGGGACTAATTACCTCACATTCCTTCTCATCTTCCTCTGTTATTTTCTGTGTTGGACTGAAGAAGCCACTGACTGGTGAACGTTTCCTTCATGAAGATAACATAGATAAATCACATATATACATAGATACACCTGACGATGTGTACAACTCTGCTTAATTACGACACTTCACAAGCGTGTACCTGCCTTTAAAAGTCAATTTCTGTCATCGTTTGTACACTGTTAAATCATACATTATACAAGCAGTAGAGTGTATGATTTAATGGTTCACCTTCTATACCGTTCCTGCAATAATGTTCGTGTGACTTTCCTGCAGGAAAGTCACTATTATTAACAACAAAAACAACCACCAACAATAACAACAATCACCACCACCACCAACAATAACAACAAACAATCACCACCATCACCAACAATAACATCCACCACCAACAATAACCACAATTACCACCACCAACAATAACAAAAAAAAAAAACTTTGTAGAGAAAGCGCAAAACCTGCACGGCTCATAGTCTCCAGGGGGAAATGGGATGCAATTGGTATTGCTTGAAGGAAGCAAAAAATAGCTCCAATTCCTTGGATGACGAACCCTTCACTAGCGTGGCGTACAAAGCCTTTAGAACCGTTGAAGAATTTTTAACTTTTTTTTCAACTACATATATAACAAAATTTAAAACCAGCTGTTTTGTAGTTCACAAACGAGCAAATAAATTAAACAGAAAATGTGCTAAACCCGGACGAGTCATGCAAAAATGATTCGTCCGGATATTGTGATTTTTTCCTCTCGAAAATTTGATTTGTAATTTTTATGGAATTTTAGTGTTTTAGTGATGGATGTATATTGAAGTGGGCTCTTGATCCAGGGAACTGAAGCTAACCTCCAGTTCCTCGGATCAACTGTGATTGCCTCCCATTTCCCAGACGCTGTTTGACCCTTGTAACATGAGACGTCATTTCTTCATTGATGTTCATGTCTAGCAACACAAGACGTCAAGGAGGTATACTCATTCTTCCTCTGTAATTTTCCTACTGATGAAATAATTATGACTAAGTACGAGAAACGTATTCTCCATTAATAATACACTTTGCAGAAAAAATTATGGCATGGTAATGGGAAACCCCCTCCATCCGAGCTTCCAGACCAGTGACTCACACCAGACTGGTCACAATTGACCAGTGACTCACACCAGACCACTGGTCACAACTGACCAGTGACTCACACCAGGCCACCGGTCACAACAAACCAGTGACCCACAACAGACTACCGGTCACAATCGACCAGTGACTCACACCAGGCCACCAGTCACAACAGACTAGTGATTCACAGCAGACCACCGGTCACAACAGACCAGTGACACACACCAGACCACCAGTCACAACAGACCAGTGACTCACAACAGACCACCGGTCACAACAGACCAGTGACTCACACCAGACCACCGGTCACAACAGACCAGTGACTCACAGCAGACCACCGGTCACAACAGACCAGTGATAGACACCAGACCACCAGTCACAACAGACCAATGACTCACAGCAGACCACCGGTCACAACAGACCACCGGTCACAACAAACCAGTGACTCACACCAGACCACCGGTCACAACAGACCAGTGACTCACACCAGGCCACCAGTCACAACAGACTAGTGACTCACAGCAGACCACCGGTCACAACAGACCAGTGACTCACACCAGACCACCGGTCACAACAGACCAGTGGCCATACGCCAGACCTCTGGTGACACAAGGGACCCAGATGCACCAATAATCGATCAGCACTCACGCGTCCCTGCTTCTGCCACCAATTACAGAGCTATGAAGACCACATCATTGATTATCAGAAAGTTGCTCACGTGATGTTGACGATTGTGGAAATGATTCTCTCACGGGGTACTTCTTTCATTCTATACACATCGAAAGGGTGAAGAATACGCAAATTACTTAAAGTTGAGTAGAATTTAAGTTTCGTTGAAATTAGCTTGGGCAAAATTAATTTAAGTTGGGTTTCATTTCACAATGAATTAGGAAAGAAGGTAATACGTGCATCGTTAAGTTAGGTAAAGTTTTGTTTTACAATATACTGGGAAAGGGAGAAATGTGGATGACTAGGTAAAATTAGGTCTTTTCAGGCTAGAATACAAAGTCACACTGTGACTTTATAAATGGTACAAGTCAGACTGAAACATCGTCACAAGCTCCTCTCTCCTAAGTGTAGGTTATTTGTGTATTGTTATAGTAACGATATTGTGCCCATTTGTTCTTTTCAGGTTAGGCTGGATTAGCTCTTCTCATGTTAATTTCATCCACAATACATTGTGAGGGGGGTCAGGAACAAGTATGATTTAGGCCAGGATACTATCATCTCGGAAAGATCGTAAAAATCCCGTATATCTCAGGTCACATAACAAGTAGACTTTGAGTGAGGAAGATTTCTAAGATGGTGGTACACTTAAAAAAAGTGTTTATCACAAACTGTATTACCTTCCCTAAAATAGTTATGGCAGGTAATTCTTATACTCTAAAAACAAGCATCAACCTTGTATGTGCCATGAAGCACGGCAGATAGTATGCTGCTTCCTCACTTTGTTACTCCTAGACAACTGTTGAACTTTAAGCATGATGTAC